ATGTATTGTGGAGCCACTACTGTAACTGCTATGAAAGAGTAGTTTTAAATCAGAGTCTGTGCTGTTCTTGCCACCAAAAACATAGTTCCTCATGCACACACACACACACACACACACACAGGCATACATGCTCCACGAAGGAGAGACAGAAAATTGTCTTTAATGAGGCAATTCACCCGAGTTGATTTCTTCTGCAGTCTTAAAACTGAAAAAGGATTCGAATAAAGTTAAAGATGAAGAGAGCCATGCAACCTTTCCTTCAGCGAAATTCAAACAAATGATCAAAAACATTTTTTTCCTCTCAAACAGTACACAAGTTAGAATTGCTACAAACATGAGTTGACATCCAGGTGACATTCTCAGGGGTATTTACAAACTTTCTTATTGTCAAAGACTGAAAATGACCAATGGGTCATCTGAATCTGTTTTCTTGGCCATTCCAAAACATGTGTGAGGCAGCAGCCTGCTTTGCTTCTGAGTGGCAAGTAGTCAGCCCAAGGAAAGCGTTATCTGAACAGTTTACAGTGCCAACAATGGGGCCAGTAACAACACCTCTGGGATGGGCTCTTTGCACCCTCCTTGTGTGATCCAAGCACAGAGCAGGGAAGCCAGGAGCGCTGGGCCCACAGCTCCAAGGACAGCCCCCCCATCAGGTTCATGGGGGCCGATGTGTTCATCTGCATTTACTAACCAAGGAAAACTGTTGGTGGGAAATTCCACTGTCACTTTTGCTGCTTAATCATGAGCAGGTGGACAGGAGTGGAAGGGAAGAGGGACCATGAAATGACATGAAGGGTGGGAAATGAAACCACCATCGAGGACCTAAGTACGGCGTCTGAAGCTATCAGCTGCCTTTCCTGTGCACTGCCTGCACTCATGCCATCACACAAAGTCTGCTGTCCATGCCTTGCTGGGAGATCTCTAGAGAAGGGTTTCTACCACTGTGTAATACTTTATTCTTGCACTTGTCATTCATACAAATAAGCCATTCAAAATTCTTTCTGGTGCCTGTTAAGTCTGTTTTCTGATGCGGAAGCAGGAGAGCTCATCATTAGGATAAAACTTATCTCTGCTTCCATCCTTGTCCCTCCCAGGTCCCTTCCTAACCAAGGTTGTCCTGAATTTTCCTCTTTCCAACACAGCCCAGTGGTCCTAATGCTTCCAGTTGCCCAGATGTCACAACTGTCACCATGGATTAAGGAGAATTTGTCATTTTGGTTTTATAAGAAATAGATTTAGTAACCTCAGAATCCTGCCTACCTTGATATTATGCCTCACAAAAAAAAACCCCTCCTCCCCACATTTTCTCTCATCAATGGTTACAATTTAAAAGCAAAAGCTGGGAAATTTACAAAAAGGTAATCGATACTGGGACAACATCTGAGGAAGTTCTACCCTGAAATATAAAATGGCCAAGTGCATAAGCAGAGTCAGGTCATTGCACTTCACAGTCCATAATGAAAAGTCCCCAACCTAGGCGGCCTGAGGAATCTTAGCTTGCACTAAATTATGGTTTTACCTGCTTAAAAAAAGGCTGGGGGAATAAAGAGTGATTGAAGCTTGACTGCTGGAGGAAAAGCACTGCTCATTCCTTGAGAGGCCACACATCTGAAGAGCAACGTGGTCTGGGATGACACCATTTTCCAGGATGGCTTTTGTTTTAAAATCAGATTTTTGCAAAGAACTCCCCATTAGTTCCCCAACAGGAGTACTTCCAATCATGTTAACTAGATGAATAGCAATGACAGGGCCCTGAGTTGTGAACAAGTTTTTAAAAGAGCTTCCTTCCCACCCAGAGGAACCCTGCACTGACTGCCCAGGAGGAAGTGCTAATCTCAGCCCCTGAGCTGGGAGATTTTAGTGCCTTTCTTCTGAAGAAATAGTTTCCGTGGAAATTCCAAAGTTTTTAAAAATGAAAAGTATAATTTTTAGAGATCACTAATTTGGTTACACAGAGGTTTTTTAAATTTTGACGCGATACTGTATTTGGGATAGAACTAAACCTACATATATTCTTCAGTGGAAAAGCTGTACTACTGATAAGAATGGAGGCAGGCCTTGAATCCAGACAATCTGGCCCTTGAATCACTGTGCACCCTGAGCTCTTGACTCAACAGACCTTCGCTAAAGCCCGCTAGGCACAAAACAGACTTCTAAATGCAATCACCATTTATTAATCAACAGATAATCTCTTAACAATACAACAATTACATGTAATAAAAAGTTTTCATGGACTTCTAAAACAGGGTCAATGGGTAAAAAAAAAATGTGTAAGTATTCATTAGCTATTCTGAACCTATTTGGAATTTTGGCACCCATGTTTATTTGATTCCATGACTATTTTCTATTGTAAATGTGCTGCCTTGGGGTTCATATTTGGAATAGACACTTCGAATGAAATAAATATTTGCTTTTAGATACATTGATTTTGCCCTTGAGAGAACCAGAGCGTTTTCCAGTGCCCCAAACCAGTGTTGGGAACTGCAGTCCCCAGTGCAGCCTGACGCCATTCTTATCACTACAGTTAATTAATTTTACAGTATCTGGGACAGAATGAGTTCAGCCTCAGCAGCTCGGAGATCAGAATCCCACCTGATGAGCCTATCTTGTATTCCTGCTAAGAAACTTCTTCCAGGGGTATAGAATCTGAACAATTCTGAACAGTCTCAGGTGGAAAATTTGGAAAAATTGAAGAAGTCATCAGGAAAATTCTGGAATGAATAGAGTGCTTTTCCCTGGCTAGAAACACTGCTGCTAAAAATAACACAATGAAAAACATATTTGTCTCTTACATACAATGGATGTAGAACATAATTATGGGCTGTTTTGACCTGGAATGTAGACAAGGGGGGGAGGTGCTGACACCTGGAATATAAAAGGAGGACAGTGTGTTCAAACTCTTGCTTCCTGTATTCCCACCGCCCTTGCTGACTCAGTTTCCCAGTCAGGGTACCTGTAATAGACATATCTGACTCTTCTTGCAGGACCAAGAAGCATCAGAGGCAGGTAAGAGTTAAAACTGTAAGAGTGTGAAGTACCTCAAGCTCCTATCAATATGTGCCATAAAAAAGTAAATTAGTCCCACTTCCATAGCCTACCTAGAGAAAGTGTTACAGACATAATTAATGTAAAACCACGGATATCTCAGCTCCTTTGACACACTTAATATTTTTTATTTTAATTAATTTATAGAAATAATCACTGCTGTTGGAAATTATTGCAGTAACACATTGATTTTGTTCTAGTCCCTTAAAATGAGAACAAAATAGCACAAAATACAGAATGGCAGTGTATTGTGTTATATATTTTAGTATCTCTCTGAGTCACGGTTTCTTCCTCTGCACAGGGGAAACAAAAAGATTTTGCTAGCCCTAGCCGAGTGGCTCGGTTGGTTGGAGCATCGTCCTGTTCACCAAAAGGTCGTGGGTTCCATTCCCAGTCTGGGCATGTACAGGATCCATGTTTCTCTCTCACACCCACATCAATGTTTATCTCTCTCTCTCTTTCCCTCCCACCCTCCCCCTACTTCCTTTTTCTTTAAAAGCAATAAACATATCCTCTGGTGAGGATTTAAAAAAAAGATTCTGCTAATCTTACTGGGGTGTTGCAATGATAAGATAAAGGATGTGAAAACACTTCATACAGTCCACTGCCACATGAGTAGTAAATAAAAGCAATCGCTAATGTGTGTGGAGCCTGGATGCGGAGACCTGTGCCACAAAGATTTTGTCATTTCATCCTCACAATACCACTATCATCGCTCCTATTTTATGGAGGAGAAAACTGAGGCTTGAAGACATTCATTTAACTTTTCCAAAGTTGTACAAGTAGTTAGGGGTGAAGCCCGGAATCAGAACCCAGGCATTCCCGCCGTGATGGGCTGTTCTTTCATCACTCAACTGACCTGCAATCACTGTGGTAACACAACAGTCTAATAAGAGTATAGATTAATCCACATTATCTGACACAAATTTCAGGAGGTTTGAATTCTTACATATGAGGAAGTTTTAAAAATATTTTAATGCCTGCCCATTTGCTCCTAAACAGTTTTGGTTTCAAAAGCCCCAATTCCCATTTCATAGGTATCTTTGAATGCCTCTTAATTCTGTGCTTTAACCTTACCCAGTGTGTGAAAGAAGCAAATATGCTTTTCATTTCTTTTTAAGCTTGGTGAGCCTAGCTACTCACATGATAGCCTTGTGTCCCCATGCTAACCCCCCTATGTCAACTTTGTGGGTATACAGCTACCTTTAGCGATTTTTATCACATCCATATCACTGGCAAGACTGTTTACTCAGTCTTACTAGTAACTGATGCAAACAGAAAACCTATGCCACCACCAAAGCGAGGTTTCCTTTCTGAAGCAATGCTTTAAAAACAGCCTTCGTCAATCATTGCCCCCAGCCCAGGAACCTTTATCTGTCTTCTTAGAATGTACAAAGTACTGCTTCCCTCAAGTCCAAAACTTCTGATGTCTCAAACAGGATATTTTTCCAGTATGGTGAAATGCCTGTCTGAGAGAAGTATACAGACACACATACCAAGAAAGTGCAGCGGCAATAAACCTGCCTGTTTTTGTAATATTCCATGGGGTTTATCTTTAGCATTTTAAAACTTGCAAATAAGAAATACATGTACTCCCAATTCAGGTCTGTTCTAAGAATTTAAAAAAACAACCTAGGAATAATCTACAAATACATATTGTATCTCAAGTCCCAGATCTTCCTTCTAACCTTCATCTATGGCATTTTTATAGCATTATTCACAGGGTACAATCAGCATAATGCATAATGTGCCACTTGTTTTCAGCTCTATTCAAAAGTCTCAGTTCATTCAATAAAAAAACCCTGAAAAACACAGCCCCAGAGCACGAACATTCCGTGTGGGAAAGCTGTGCTTATTGATTCGGTTCTTCCTGCCAAGAGAACAATGCAGAGAAACAGACCTCAGTGTTCCAAACAGTTTCTGGCAATAATTCAGAAGAAAAAGCACATATTTACCTGTACTCAGAGCTCCACAGGTGAGGCAACAGTTAAAGTACAAAATCTAATTCTTCTTCTGGAAGTTTCATCTCTAATGGATTCCAGGGTCATCCTTCGGAGCTGTCAGGTAAACCCCCCTCCATGTCTCTCTACTGTTTTCTTTGCTGTTTTTCCCAGTGAAACTCCTGTCATTTGCATAAAACCTACTTCTAGCCTATAGGACTTTTTGAGTAGCTACTTGCTAAATTGGCTGTCTTGACATGCTCTTTCAAGCATGACATCATAAATCTCCATGGAAACCCTAACCCCACCTGTCTCTGTGCCAACAGTACCTGTCAGGCAAAGACTTAAACAATCATCTGAAATTGTTCATTAATGAAACCTTTTTAGGGGCTTTGGATCTCTGCACAGTATAATTTGTGCTGTTGGCAAAAACTTAGCCAAGAATGATGGCTTCATTTTCAAAGCCTGAGCTGTTTTGTAGAAAACAATGATCAAAATTATAGGCATTCGTTAATCTGCCCCTCCCTGTCTAACAATGCACTTAATCAGTTGAAGATAAACCTACAGTGGCACATGTGCCTCTCTTTGAAGGATAAAGTTACGTTGAAAATGTAGGTTTTGAAAAACCTTCAATCAATACTTCTAAGGCTTTCCACTCTGTTCTCAAGCAACCCCTTCCTACTTTTTTACCAGCAAAACTTGCAAAACAGGTTCCTTGCTGAAATGTGTGTGTGTTTGTGCAGGCATTTTCCCTTGGCCTCTGGCTTGCAGAGATAGTAGAACATGTTGAGAATTTTTTAACTCTTTCCTGTCATACATCTTTGGCATGTTTGTCCTAGCTTGTATAAATTACCAGAACAACATCGAAATCAGTGTTCTTGGCTTTTCTTGGGAATGGTCAATAGGCTCTAAGACATTAATTCTTCATTCATCCATCCACTTTTAACTACCCAAGTCTTACAGAATCCCTGGTCTGCACAAAGCTTTGGACAGATTTTTGCCAAATTTGTGCCCAACCCATCTTAGTGACACTGGGCTCAGCCCTCTTCCTCTCTCTCACCTTGAAATTTACAGCAGACACTCTCAAGTTCAAGATTGCTGACCTGGAGGTACCAAAAGGTTTGAATGGGACTTGCTCCAAACCCATAAGATTTATAATTATGTTATCAAATGGCTGTCAAAAGCTGTACCTAGCAGGAAGTTTCTTCAGTGGGAATGAGCTAGGCAGCCTCCAGCAGAATCTGTCACAAGACTGCAATGTTTGGAAGCTGCTTTAACTTGCCACAGATCTGCTGCAAACTGCAATAAGTCTTGGCAACATCTGTCCTCAAAGGTCAGACAGCAAAGACAAGTCTCCACTCTTGGCTGAGCCCGCCCAGGTGCATGCAGGGAGAGGAATCCTAGGTACAAACTCAGAATGGCTCTTTCCATAGAAGGAATTCTAAATGCTTCAGATCCTCTCCTCTGACTGTTCTTGAAGTTTTGCATTGCCATAGTTCATCGTCAACAGATAGGACATTATGACCTTCCAAGGGAATCCAAGAACTAGCCTGGTTTAATACAGCTGAATGAGTTTAAACACTCCTCAGAAGCAAGACTATTGTTAGGGATACAAGATCTAGCCAAATCTAGGCTTTACTCAGTGAAATCCAAAAATGGGGTAGAGCACAACTCAATTGCAGTTACTTTTCAAAGTTCTGTTAGAGAGAGGAGTCTGCCAAAGTTGACTCAGCAGTCAGAGTGGTTACCAATTTTGCCGAATCTTCCCCTGAACATATTTAGGAAATTCTAATATCTCAGCTTTTACTTACTAAATTCAAGCTTGGAAAAAAGTGTGAGAAGAGTCAGAATCTGAATGTCAGGAAAGTGGAAGTAGTCACAGAAATAACTCAGAGGTGACAGCAACCTGATGAACCCATTCTTTGGCCGGCAGGCAGGCAGGCAGAGGTAAAGACTTACAGAAGATCTGTAACAGCAATGACATCATTATGGTGATATGAGGATCTTGAAATATTTAGAATGGGGAAAGTTTTGGACAACAACAGTCTCAGCAAGAAGTACAACACAAATGGGGGCTGGGCAGAAATGCCAAGACTTGCCCAGAGGTGACCAGTCCAGTAATGATTTTTCCTAACGTCTGTAAGAAAATTATCAAGTAGGACTAAGCTTCAATAACATTGTGATTTGCCTGACAGCAACTAAGCACTACACTAAGTCAAAGCACAATAAATGCATGCAGATGGAGTAATTTATTTCTAAATTAGCAACACCAGAGGTATCTCTGTTTGGCTTGGATAGTAAGATTCTCTTGAATTTGTTTCATCAAACCTATTTTATAATAGACATAGAAACTGCTCACTGAAAAAGCCCATGAAAATAGGAGAATACAAATAATTGGCAAAAGAGGTTGTAGTTAAGCATTTATGGCCTGAATTTTTGTTTCTTAAAAAAACATGAGTTAAGAGTTGCATGTAGAAAAGAAATACTTCCTTAGGTGGAAATACTTCTTTAGGTAGAAAAACTTTTATTTTTCAAATTTTATTTATTTATTTTTAGAGAGAAGTGAAGGGAGGGAGACAGCAAGGGAGAGAAATATAGGTATATTTCTATAGAAATACAGAAGTATCTATGCAGGAGAGAAACATCAATCAGGTTGCCTGTCGCACACACCCTGACCAGGGAGTGAACCCACTACCCACGCATGTGACCTGACTGGAAATTGAACCAGTGACCTTTGGCTTTGCAGGATGATGCCCAATCAACTGAGACACACCGGTCACGGCAATATTTTTATAATTAAAATAACCAATCTTCATTTCATTTAAGCCTCACAACAATAGTATCATGCAAAAGCATTTAATAACCCCCATGTCACAGAGGGAGAAGGTGAACCTCAGAGAGGTTAGGTAATATGAATAATTTAACATGGCTACTAAGTGCTGGAGTTTGAATTTGAACCCAGGCAGACCCAAGATTTGAACTCAAAACACACATGCTTAACCACTGGGCACTGTGATCGCTAGTTTAATAAAATTGCTTGTCATTTTGAAGGTACTAAAATCTTAACTGAACTAAGCCATGCTGGAAGGATTTAATTGGTAAACTAACCTGAAAGTACATATTAGATCACAAAGAGTAAACAGAGACTTCTGCAGATCCTCCCAGATATACCAAGTCAACAGATGGGTCTAGAATAGTCCAGACAGAGATAGTCTATCAGCAAAGCAACAGTAGAACAGGGATATTTATTTAGCTTTAAACTGTATGGAGGCCTGTAAGGACTACACAGGGTAGGATTAACATATTATAAGTCATAAACCCAGGACAAACATACCACAGAGGCAGAGAAGACAAATGAAACAGCAGACACTCAGGAAATCTCTGCAAATCTGAGTTCTGGTCTAAAGAAAAACTGACAAACACTAAAAATAAAAAAATAAGTATACATTTTGTATGTCAAGAACACACTTTAAATATCACCAAAAGAATAGGCACACTTGGATTCCTGAGTGAAGTAATCAAAACCAACTATGGTAGTTAATTGCCTAATGCTAAATCCTTGAACTTGGGCTCTGTTTTTGTTTGTAGCTGTTGTTCCCTTTAGAAATAATCCATTTACATTTAGTCACCTTTTTCTATGGTGCTGAGGTAATGGTTAAATTTATGTGTCAACCTGGCTAGGCTATGTTGCCCAAGTGTTTGGTCAAACACCAGTTTGGATAGTGTTGTGAAGGTATTTATTTTTTAGATGTGATTAAGATTGAAACCAGCTGATGTCAAATCAAGCCAGTTACCTTCCACAGTATGGTTAAGTCTCGTTCAAGTGAATGAAGGCATCACAAGCAAAAACTCAAGAGCTCCTGAAGAAAAAATTCTGCCTCAATACTGCACATCCTGGACTCATGGCTGTAACATAAACTCTTCCCTGAATTTCCTGGTTGAAAGCCTGCTTTGCAGATTGCAGATTTGCCATTCCCTACAATTATGTGAGCCAATTCCTACAACTAAATCAATCTCTCTCTTTCATTCTCACTCTTGTTCTCACTCTCTGTCTAACTTACTGGTTCTGTATCTTTGGAGACCTTGACTAATAGTGCAGTGGTGCCAATTTGCACTGTCCAGTCTTGTTTTCTGGCCTAGGTTCTATCTAATCTTCTACTTCCAATTTTCTAGCAGTTATTTTCACTCGGAACGCCTACTGTCTGTTCACATACAGCTCGTCAAGACTGAAACTCAAGTAATTGTTTAGTACTTCCTGAGCATGACTATGTTTAATAAAGAATAGACATATTTGCTGTCAAATTAAAATAAAGGAATATAATCAAGTTCATCAGTTATTATAACAGATATCAGTGGAGTGACTTCTACCATTAAAAAACAAAGGACTTCCGACAAGATGGAGGCATAAGTAGAGACACCGTGCTTTCTCACACAACCAAGTTTAGAGACAACTAAATAATAGCAACAGAAAACACAGCCAGAACACAGAAAAATTGAACTTTTCGGAAATCTGATAACAACAAATGCTTTAGCCTGACCGGTAAGAGGAGCGAAACCAGCAGCTGGCAGAGTGGGGTAGCACAGGAAAACTCGGTCAGATGGACTCAGGCGGACTCAGGCACGAGGAATCCAGGCCCAGGGTTGGACCTGGTGGGCAACTCAGCAAGCAATCGCGGGGAAACAGCGAGAGAGTAGAGCTGCGGGTTGACTGTGGTCGCGCATTCCTGTGTGGAGAGACAAGCCAGGGAGTGGGCAATTGGACAAGAGCCAGCAGCCCCAGCTGCGGAGGACGCCACCATTTCCCCGCTCTAACCCCGCCTCCACATACAGCGTCATAATCCAGCGACCTAAGTGGCCCTGCCCCGGTGAACAACCTAAGGCTCTGCTCTTCACCCAGCTGCAAGAAACAGCAGAGGGGACAGCCATTTCCCCGCTCTGACCCCACCTCCACATACAGCGTCACAACCCAGAGACTTGGGAGTCCAAGGCTCCCCTCCCCATACTTAATGAGCAACAACAGACCAAAAATGGCTCAAGAAGATCTCAAAGCCCCAGAGCCTATAAATCTAAGTGATGAAGAAATAGCAAAACTCTCAGACGCACAGTTTAAAACACTGGTGATCAGGATCCTCACAGAACTGGTTGATTATAGCCACCAGTTAGTCTTTAATTAGACAAACATATGAAGGTGAAACTAATTGAAATGAATAGTAATGCACAGGAAACCAATAGCAATGAAAAGGAAACTGGGACTCAAATCAATGGAGTGGACCAGAAGAAAGCAAATAATGGCCAAACAGAAAAGAGTGAAGAAGCAAGAATTCAAAAAAATAACGAGAGGCTTAGGAACCTCCAGGACATCTTTAAACATTCCAACATCTGAATTACAGGGGTACCAGAAGGGGGAAAGGAACAGCCACCAGTGGAAAACTTGAACAAATAATAAAGGAGAATTTCCCCAATCTGGCAAAGGAAATAGACTTCCAGGAAATCCAGGAAGCTCAGAGAGTCCCAAAGAAGTTGGACCCAAGAAGGAACACACCAAGGCACATCATCATTACATTAGCCAAGATTCAAATGAAGGAGAGAATCCTAGAAGCAGCAAGAGATAAGGGGACAGTCACCTACAAAGGAGTTCCCATCAGACTGTCAGCGTATTTCTCAAAAGAGATCTTACAGGCAAGAAGGGGCTGGAAAGAGGTATTCCAAGTCATGAAATCCAAAGACCTACAACCAAGATCACTCTATCCAGCAAAACTTTCATTTAGAATGGAAGGACAGATAAAGTGTTTCTCAGATAAGATCAAATTCAAGGAGTTCACCATCACCAAGCCCTTATTATATGAAATGTTAAAGGGACCTAAGAAAAAGAAGTTAAAAGAAAACATGCACAGTGAAAGGACAACAAACTCACAGTTATTAACAACCACGCCTAAAACAAAAGCAAACTAAAAGGACAGCTAGATCAGGAGTGGAAACATAGAAACGAAGATCTCAAGGAGGGTTAACAACAGGGGAGTGGGAGGAGAAGGGGGGAGAAGGTACAGAAAATAAGTAGCATAGAGAGTAGATAGAAAATAGATGGGGGGGGAAGAATAGTATGGGAAATATAGAATCTAAAGAAGTTGAGACACATGGTCATAAACTAAAGGGTACGGTAATGGGGGGATGGGGGGTAGGGTGAAGGGGAATGAAGGGGGGAATAGAACAACTGTAACAGCATAATCAATAAAAAAATAAATTAAATAAATAAATAAATAAAAAGAAAAAAACAAAGACTAATAGATTGGGCTGAAAAACCAAAACCAAATTATATGTACTTTCTAATAAACATACTCACTATAAATAAAGAAAACTCGAATATAGATGGTTAAGATGTATCAGACAAATCCTTTTACTTTTGACTAAAAGTAAAGCAAGAGTAATAATGCTAGTATTTTAAAATGTGCACAAACATTAAACAAAATAAAGAGGTCATTGATAATTTTTAAAAAACATAATTAACTTCTGCCAAGGTGGAAGCGTAGGTGGAAATACTGTGCCTTCTCGCACAACCAAGTCAAAAAACAACAAAGTTTTAGCAACAAAAAATGCAGCCAAACCACAGAAAATTGAACAATATAGCAGTCTGACAGCAACAAAGCACTCAGCCAGGCCAGTAAGAGGGGCAGAGCCAGTGAAGGCGCAAGGCAGCAGGCTGACCGTGGTCACACACTTTCTCGCAGATAAACCAGTGAAGGAGCGAGCAGTGAGACAGACCGCATAGGCCCCAGCGGCAGGAAGAAGCAGAGGGGACCACTACTGCTCCTCTCTGACCCTGCCCCCACATACAGCATCACAAACCAGCAACCTGGGTGGCCCTGTCCTGGTGAACACCTAAGGCTCCGCTCCTCATATCTAACAGGCACAAACAGAGCAAAACATTATGGCTCAAGAAGAACTCAAAGCCCCAGAGCCCATAACTCTAAGTGATGAAGAAATAGCCAAATTGCACAGTTCAAAACACTGGTGATCAGGATGCTCACAGAACTGGTTGATTTTAGTCACAAATTAGAGAAACATACGAAGGCTAAACTAATTGAAATGAAGGGAAATGCACAGGAAACCAATAGTGATGGAAAGGAAACTGGGACTCAAACAAGGGAGTGGACCAGAAGGAAGAAAAAAAGACCAAACAGAAAAATATGAAGAAACAAGAATTCAAAAAAATAAGGAGAGGCTAAGGAACCTCCAGGACATCTTTAAATGCTACCCCAACATCCAAATTATAGGGGTACCAGCAGGGGAACAGGAACAGCCACGAGTGGAAAACTTATTTGAACAAATAATAAAGGAGAACTTCCCCAAGCTGGCAAAGGAAATAGACTTCCAGGAAATCCAGGAAGCTCAGAGAGTCCCAAAGAAGTTGGACCCAAGAAGGAACACACCAAGGCACATCATCATTACATTAGCCAAGATTCAAATGAAGGAGAGAATCTTAGAAGCAGCAAGAGATAAGGGGACAGTCACCTACAAAGGAGTTCCCATCAGACTGTCAGCTGATTTCTCAAAAGAGACCTTACAGGCAAGAAGGGGCTGGAAAGAAGTATTCCAATTCATGAAATCCAAAGACCTACAACCAAGATTGCTCTATCCAGCAAAGCTTTCATTTAGAATGGAAGGGCAGATAAAATGCTTCTCAGATAAGATCAAGTTCAAGGAGTTCATCATCACCAAGCCATTATTATATGAAATGTTAAAGGGACTTACCTAAGAAAAAGAAGATAAAAAAGATGAACAGTGAAAGGACAACAAACTCACAGTTATCAACAACCACACCTTAAACAAAAGCAAACTAAGAGGACAGCTAGATCAGGAGCAGAACCATAGAAATGAAGATCACATGGAGGGTTAGCAACAGGGGAGTGGGAGGAAGAGAAGGGGGGAGAAGGTACAGAAAATAAGTAGCATAGACGGTAGATAGAAAATAGATATGGGGGAGGGTTAGAATAGTAGGAGAAATATAGAATCTAAAGAACTTGAAGACACGAGAACATAAACTTAAGGGGGGGAATGGTGGGGGTGGGGGTGTGCAGGGTGGAGGGGAATGAAGGGGGGAATAAAACAACCGTAATGGCATAATCAATAAAATATATTTTTTAAAAAACATAATTTATGAAGAAGAGATGATCATCATAAATTTGTAACAAAGGACAAAGCAACTAAAAAACCATAAAGCAAAAATTCTTACAAATGCAAGAACATGAGAAAAATACAATTAAAGCGATAGATTTTATTATACTTTGTTTAAAATCAAATGGCACCAAAAGAATAAAATAAGGACTGAGAAGAAATAAATCACACAAACAACAAACCTGATATGTATAATATATATTAGATAATTTTTATGAATATTTATGGAAAACTTACAAACATTGATTGTGTATTTGACAATTCATAAGAAAAAAATTTAAGCCAATCCATAAATGACTGAAAACTAATAAATTATACAGGCTTCACTCCCTGATCAAATCCAATAAAATTATAAATAAATAATAATAATCTCAAATACTTTGAAATGAAATATTCCTGGGCATCCTTCAAATCCAAGGAAAAAAATCAAAACAGAAAAATTTCAACTTTCTTTAAAACAAAGAAACAGGAAATATTTCATACAAAAATGAAGAACAGAGTACAAGCTGGTGTCAGGAATTATATGCCCTTAAATGCCTTTATTAGTAAACAATAAATACTAAATATAGATATACATACTACTCATTTAGAAATATAAAAGACAGCAACAACTTTAAAAACTAGGAAAAGACAATTACTTATGATAAAAGCAAACAATAATCTGAAGAAGATAAATGTAAACTGATCCTCTGAAAATATTAATAAAACAGATAAACACGAGGGAATGCAAAATAGACATGTGCTCTCTAGAAGCTTATATGAGCACTAAACCTCTTGGTACTTAACTAGAAGTAAAACAGATGTTGCACGAAGTAGGCGGAAAAAGACTCACGGGAATGGTCCTCACACTTTTGTACAGGAGAATGTTCTGGTCCAGTTGAAATGTTTGAAAACCAAAAGGAAAGAAAGAACAAACAAAGTGGAAAGGAGGGACAGAGGGAAGACCAAGAACCCAAGATATAAAAACAGTCATCAGTAATTACAGCACGTATGACCCATTCATGTCTCATGTACAACCACTGCCTATAGTACCACACCACCCACCTATTCCCCCTGCATTTCGGTGCTGTTGGAGTAGAACTGTTGACTGCCCCTAATGGAACCTCAGTAAGTACTCATGAAACAAAGTCCCTACACATTCCATTAACCTGGAAATACTTATTGGTGTAAGCATGACAGTACATGAAGCCTCTTACTGCAGTGTGCTACACCTCACTTTACACTTGGTCAAAATCAATGCTTCGGTTCAAAGCTCCATCTGGTTAACCCCACTGTATTGCACTGTTTACAATTTACCTTCCCATCTGTGTGGGGTTTGCAGCACACCCCCTCGGATTAGAGGAAGAGAAGAAAGAAGGGCAGGCTTGGTAAGACAAAGATGCTGAGTTGGGAATGCAAAATGAGATGGGTACTGAGGTAGGGCCCCGAGAGAACAAATCTAAGAGCATTTCAAAAGGAAGACACTACAGAGTTTTGCTAAAAAATCCACTGAGCTCCAGACCACATCTTTTCCCCCAAATTCCATCCCCATCAGCAGATCCCATGAGTTAATTAACACCGTGGTGTCCTTTTGCACCCATTCCTCTTGTAGTGTTGACTAATGTTACTTCAGTGGTAGCCCTCTAGTCCTTCAGTAGGTCCACACAAAGTGGACACAGTTTAGTGATTTGCTTAAGGTCCTAGCACAGGTAGGAGCAAAGTGACAATCAGAACCCAGATCCTGGGGTGCCCGGTTGGGTGTTCTTGCCTTTTCTGTTGTCCCTGCTGCAGCTCTTCAGGCTTTCATCCTTCTATATCCACTCACCAAGTTATTCCCATTTTTCTTCTGAAAATCTGATGTGTCTTCCTTCAATTCTGGCTGAGCCCCATTCCTCCGGCCCCTGGGCCTGATCCCCGCATCATGGACACTGCAACTGCACCCAGGCCAGCACCCTGGCGTTCACAGAGCCCCGCCTACCTAGCACTGAGAAGCTAACCTTTAAACTTTGCTTTATTCCATTCGCATACTCAAAGGCTACAAAGGTGCCCTGTTTTTCTCAGTCCAAGCTTTCTGCCTGACTTTCGAGATCCCGCACATCCTGGTTTCCTTCTGCTTGAACCCACTGACTTCCCACTTCTCCAAAGATCACTCTGCTTCTCCCAGACCGCCTTCCTGTTCATTCTCGAGGGAGCCACCTCCGTTTTTGTCTCATCGTGGTCTCTGCTGTTCTCCCTTCTCCCACTGAAAGCCGCCAGGCCTTCATTCTATTCATTTAAATCATAATCTGTCAATGTCTTTGTCACAGATATTTGTTGAATGCCTACTATGTACCAGGCAGGAAACAGATAAATTATCTGTTAGGACAAGTCTCCTATTTTTCCAAGAGGCTCCATTCAAATTCTGATTTCCTGTGTGAAATTCCCCTCCCTGCTCTCCCTCTGCCCTGAACCCCAGCAAGCTTTTAAAATACACACCGTACCACCACTTCCTGATGTGTCCCATAACGCAAGAGTCCCCCAAACATTATTGTGCTGGAATAGGTTTGGAAAACACTGCACATTTCATTCCTTTTCCACCTACTCCCAAACCTCTCCCTGAGATTCACAACACCTTTTAGTTACTATTTTAAATGTATTATTGTTAGTTGTTAATTTCTTTAAATAATAAAATGTTTAAACTTATTTATTTTTAAATTTTACATTTTATTGTATTTTTTCTATTATCATTTATCCCCCATACCATTTTTCACCTCTACCCACCACCCTCCCCTCAACAATCACCACATTGTTGTCTGTATCTATGAGGGTTTTTTTTTTTTGCTCAATCCCTCCACCCCACTACCCCACCCTCCACCCCCAGCTGTCAGCCTGCTCTCTATCTATATAAGTCTGCCTCTTTTTCGCTTGCTAGTTCAGTTTGTTCATTAGATTCCACATATATGTGAAAG